CCCGCACCGATAGCAGCCGCTCTGGTCTCCCATCCCGGGCGCAGTCCTAAGCCGGCTGGTGGACAACTGCACGTGCATTCGTTTGCCTTGAAGAAACAGACGCAAGAAGGGTTGCTATCACTCTTAGTCAAAGCCCCAGCCCCTACCCCAGACACTGGTCATAGCAATGGCTTTAATTAGACAACTCTAATGAAGGACTCACTGCCATTTTAAAGAATTTTTTTTTAAGTTGAGTATAAATTCAGTATAACGACCTGATAGCAGGCAAAGATCAATTAAATGAAGAAATGTTTCAGCTCTAACACCAGTTTCATGCTTAAGAAACCGCTCTCGCTCAAAAATAAGCACGTCATCCTTTGCCAAGTAACTGGACAGTTAACTACTCTGAACAATGACCCAATGTCAAAAGAAACCATAATAAAAGTGCTCCACAAGATTCTGACATCTCCAATCTCCATTATTACGACTCTTGATTTCATTAAGCAGAATACAAAGGCCAGCCCCCAACTTTACCCCCAAATCAAAGAGAATAGATACAACTCTGAAGCCACCACTGATAGTGATCCAGACTTGACCCATGGCTGAGTTGCTAGGCAAGTTTCAAGATTTTTAGAAAAAATACTCATGAATTGGGGGAAGCAGGGCAATATATGAGTTGAAGGATTTCCTTTCCCCTTAACTGAGTGCTTTAAATTGCTAGTTCTGATATTCATTCTAACAATGATAATCTTTAGTGACCCCTTACAGCAGAGTCAAAGAAAATAGGGCAGTGAGTTCACAAGATTCCTGAGTTTTCAGAAGAGTATTATGAAAAATGTGAAATAAAGAAGGGGTTGACAAAAGTGGAGAATGACTAGCAACGTTAGTGGATCAAACTTATCATTTTAGCAAGATTAAAGCACTTTTCCAACTTAACCTAGAGATCTGAGATCCTAAGAACACGTACTATCATTTTTTACTGAAAATTACAATTTGTATTCTGGAAATGAAGCAGTTTCCACCTAACATGATCTGTCAACTTAACAATAAGCGAAATTCCAGCAAAAACTTTCCAATACAATCGGCTATCATGCACCTAAGCATGCAGATGTCAAAGAAG